GGGGGGTTTGTGTTCACTGAGAAAACACAGCACATGGAAATGATGAAGGTCAGTGATGAAGGTCAGTGATGAAGGTCAGTGATGAATAAATGAGTGTGACTTTGACTCTTGTCTGATTGGACAACACTGACGTATAAATACATGTCGTGGCGGACAGTCTGTCTTGTAAGTAGTTTTTACTCCCTGCATGTTGAACGTGTCCGTGTCCTCAGTATTAAATTAAACTCCAGGCTCAGTTAACCGTTGTAGCAGACGGGGCCAACTTGGAAACCAAACTTCTGGCTCCCGTTTCCAAAATCGGACACAGCCACATCGACGATGGGGAGCGTTCCAGACTGTGGTGCGTCAAATTCCAACACTGTCCTCTCCTGTCCTGAGCGTGTCTGTGGGGGAGAGAGGGAGGGAGAGAGTCAGGAAGTGGGAGTAAATGTCTGCGTCCCTCCGTCGTATTCACACGCCCCCCCCCCACTCACCTGACAGCCGTCGTACAGTGCGCTGATGTAATGCGTGTTCTCGTGGGTCAACTCCTCCCCGTCTCCTCCCATGAAGCGCAGTGCGTGTTCGTGGCCGTAGGTGGCGGTGTGCAGCCACGCGGCGGAGTTCAGACAGTGGTAGGTGAAGGTCTGCTTGGCCGTGGCGCTCAGCAGCTTCAGGAAGGTCAGCTGGACGATGTGGACGGGGACGCCATCTGATCCAGAGTAAGAAAACTGGAAACCACACAGTTTGATTTGAATCTTGAAACAAATAATAAGAAAAACCAGCAGACAGGAAGTCCAGTCTGGTGCTGATTCACCGGGAATCACCACCGTTCAGTTTTCTGATCCTGATCACTGTTTGGTCTGGATGTTGACTCAGCCGACATGAGCTGAGACTGTAACTGGACGTGGTCCTTGTGCAGACGACAGAGTAAAGCTTGTGATCCAGTAAACAGCAAATATAAACACATTGATGTTTACTACATACTGATTTAATGGGTTTAATATTTAAATATGTTCATTATGGTGTATGTTCTCATCAAAGTGACCAAAACTATAAATTGATGAAATAAAATGAATATCTGAACAAATCTGTCCTCGTTAGCGTTAGCGTTAGCGTTAGAGAACGAGGCTGATGAAAAGGAGGAGAAATATCTGCGACTACAGTACTGTGTACTACAACAGTCAACCAGTCACACTGTACCTGTTTCCCTTTCCTGAACGTACTGTACCAGGTGCCTGGTTTCTCTCCCTTCCATCCAGCCAACTTCACCTGAGCACGAAAAGAAGAAAAAGAATCTGTTCACTTGTTATTTCACACAAGAAAGACGAGACACAAAAACAAAAACAGGAGTGTTTTCTCCCTGCTCCACAGTAGGACACACACACACACACACACACATATATACAGTTATATACATACTGTATATATATATATATATATACAGTACATACACAGTATTTATACAGTATTTATACAGTGTACATTCAGTGTTTGTGAGCAGAAGTATCAGGGTCTGTGTGTGATGGTGAACTCACCGACTGGAACTTCCTGTCAGGAGAGAGACACGTCTCTCCCTCAGCTGTGAAGTTACAGAACACTTTGAAGGAGTCTCGGTGACAGCCCTGGTTAGGGTCGATCCAGTATTCACCTGGGCAGGAAGGCAGGAGAGGGCAAAGGTCAAACGAATCTGGTCTTCTTCACCTTACTGAACAGATTTGTATCAGTGACTGTCCAGTGACTG